TCAAAGAGTCTACATTATTTGGGAAGTTATGAGCATACATTTGCAATTTTAAGTCAACTCTCATTCGGTGAAGTATGATCTCTTGGGATCGAGATAAGGTCAAACTGGAAGTTGATATAATTTTGTTTTTATATTTCATCTCTTGTTTGAAGGAATAAGAAGTTGAGCTATTTTTGATATTGTTGGGAACTGAATCCCATTTCCCTCAACTGAATACATGGTGATCTTCTGAATTTTGTAGATATATTAGGAGGTATTTGGTAATCACGAAGATAGTTGTCCTAGAATGTGTATTTTTGAATGGTCGAAATATTTCAGTTACATAGTCATTTTGGATATTGTACATACTTTTCTTAAGTGATAATATTCAAAAGGGGTTTTATATATGAATTATACATTGTTTCAAGTGTTTTGAGTTTATTTTGAATTTAAGTGATTTCAAAGGATTTAATGCAGACTTCGTCGCATAGATAAGAGATGTGTTGTGATCCTGATAGGGTTGAGTCAAGAATATAGACAAAGTGTAATGGTGATTTTTGCTTTGAATCATTGCATTATTTAGGGTCAGGAAGGGATACTTTTCATTTTGACTTTTGAGAAAACAATTTCTACTGTTTTTTTTAGGTTAAAGTCAAGTTTCCACAATTTTGACCATTCTTCAACTGTCTGAAGGTCAGATTGTAAAATTTGATGGGAGACTGGGTCATTAGGAATACAGGACACATATAAAGATGTGTCGTTATCATGTAGGAGCGGTTTTGAATTAAACTTAGTTAAATGAAATGTTAAAACTAGAAAATATCTTTCTTAAAATGTTCCCAATGAACGAGTCAGTTAATCAATTTGAGATACTTCAGAAAAATGATTCTATGACATATTATTGATTATATTTATGTGTAATTTAGTGAAAGCAATCTAGAAATACTCAATAATTAGGGAATACAGTAATCCCACTTTTTTGACCATTTCATCGAGAGCGTGCCTGGATGGACGTTTTTTATTCATAGAATTTATTTTACAAATACATAAAGTAAATAAACATTATACACTTGTAGTGGCTTTGCTGAAGGCATTATCAGCCACTTGATTAACAATTGCAGGGTGAAGAAAAAAGAGAGGATTAAATATGGACTCAAGAGTGAAGTGAGTGGTGGCAGGGAAACCTACACATTTGCACATTTTTCTAAAAATGATGCAGTGAGCTTGAGAATTTTCAAATTAGTGGATTTAGTTAAGTTTGAATCCCCATGAAGAAATAATTCTACTTTGTCCCTCTTGTGTTTAAATTGAGAATAGCCAAAATTAAGAAAAGCTAAATTGTTTTCCAACTCTTCTAAGAATGGAGCACGAAGTATACAGGAAAAAATAAAATGAATTGTTGTTTCATTTGCATGGCCACAAGAACATGCAGGTGAGGTAACATTTGTAAAATTGTGAGAGTATAGATGTGACTTAAAAATTAAGTCACAACGAGCCTTGTTAAGTATAATTTCTTGATTTCTTGAAAATACTAAGTTCAGAGGATCGAATAATTGAATTAGATAACTCTTTCTTTGCCCTTGCTTAAATTTTCAGCTTCTATGAGGGGCTTTGAAAGGGTATTCCAATCCATCATTGATTGTAAAATACAGGATCGATGTGAAAATGATGTAATTTTTGTTGGGATTTGGAAAAGAGCAATTCGTCGAACATTAACGTTATGATGTCTACGAAATCTCTGGAAAATACTTGAAACATATGTCGGTACCAAATTATTCTGTGATCTAAATACAAGAATATTGCGGTGATATTTGCGTCTTTCTGCTAATGATGTCCAATTTAAACAGTTCAAAACTTTAGTACAGGATGTACCATGAATGACTCCAGAGCATAAGCAGGCTGCCTTATAATAAAGCTGATCAATTAATTATTAATTTTGATAAGTTTGCACACGATCAAAGAATATCACAATAATCAAAAATCGGAAGAACAAATGACTTCAAAATTAGCTCCAAGTGTCTACTCCTAATTTCTTTTGGAGTGATCCGAGTGGGTTTAAGTGCTTTTCGACTTTTTTGTACAGTTCATTAATATGTTGTTCGAATGATAAATGTTTGTCAAGTGTTAAGCCGAGATGTTTGTGTCAACAAGAGGTAGAGAACTATTTCCAAGAGTTAGATCTGGTACTTGTAAAACTACTTTACGAGGGTTTGAGAATAAAATGTCCTTACTCTTTTCAGCTTTGAAATTCAATTTCCATAAGTTTGACCAGTTGACAATTGAATTCAAATCATTTTGTAAAATATTATTTTTTTCAAGTAAATTATCTCGGTTAAATGACTGGTAAAGAGAAGTTTCGTCTGCGTATATGTAACATTTACTGTGGAAATTCTCAGGAAGATCATTTATGTAAACTAAGAACAGTAAAGGACCAAGAATTGATCCTTGAGGGACACCTGAGTTGATATAATTCATATCTGAAAGATTTGATTCTTGTCCATCAAGCACTGCTTTGACACGTCGATTTGTGAGGTATGACTTTAAAAGGGATAAGATGGAAGGGGCAATACCATATGATTCTAACTTTTTTAATAGTAATGAATGTGGTTAAGTGTCAAAAGCGGCTGAAATATCTAAATAAATACCCCTCACACACCCCCCTGTTTCAATTTCATTAGTGATATAATCTATAATGCTTAGTAATTGAGATTGGGTACTATGACCAGGAAGAAAATCGCTTTGAAGACTGTAAAACAGGTCATTTCTGTTGAGATGGTCAAATATTCTTTGCGTTCAGCTATTTTTGATAATGGACAATGTGATGTCTTTAGATTTAAAAGTTGTTGATGCTTTCCAAAAACAACGCTTTTTATCCATTTTATCCATTGTAAATATGCTGTTTTACCATACCAATAGAGAATATGGTATGATATTAAACCATATTACGAACCAAAAGCTGGAAAGAGGTAATACCAGCAGATAATACGTTGGGTTGATATCACGCCCGTAAAACGAACAAACTACGTATACACGAGGGGGAGAAATACGGGGGATGGAGGAATCGTACGAAAAAAATTCAACATTCAACAAATCTGCAATATTTTTTATGTGGAACTATACCATTTTGAGAAGTGCCTTGGTATTATATCATACAACGGGGAGAAATTGTGGCTCCACAGCTGGTGAGATATGGACAGTGGATATATGCTGTAGTACTATACCATTTGGCAAAACGCCTTGGTATTATGTATATGGACAGTAGATATATACTTCGGTACTATATAATTTGGCATCATACAGCATGTTTGAAAAGGTATTGTCTGTACCTCGATATGCCATGCTGTACCACACCATCAGGCAGTATACGGCCAGGCTGCAACATACAACAAATATACCACTTTTGTGCTTAAATATGCTGAACCTGCATTCGAGCTACAGATCTCATCCAGAAGTCATTTCCGGATATTTAAGCCAATGCAATTCATTTGGATTTTGTGTGAGTTTCAGGTTCACACCTGGTATTAAAATGTCTAACGCATGCTTCGTTTCAAGTGGCTTTCTGAAGTATACATTGTCATTTTATTGTTGTGAAAAGTTCTAAAGTGCTTTAGTGCACAATTCCAGAAACTCAAAATTCACAGGTAAACGCCTGGGTACAAAGACAATGCGTCCTTGTAACTTACTGGATTCCCACCCGGTAAAGTAAACTATTTTTATTTCTATTTTCATCACCTCAACTGAAAAGCTTAAGCAGATAGATTTGCATCCATCACAATATACTTTACTTCTATATGTTGCTAAACATGCTAAACACTTTCTTTCTCAAATTCATCATTTTCATGTAAAATAGTTGAATTTATTTCGTTACGAGGACGGCCAGGCGTCGTAACTAGGTAAGCACCATAACTATTCACTAAGCATTCCTATCGTAGTAGGTAAACACCTCAAACATGGTCATATCTGTTTCCTCTTTGGAGAACATGTGCAAACAGTATATATCGGGTGTCCCAAAGAATGAGACATTTTTTGACAAGTGTTTTCTCAGCAATTAATAAGCTGAATTCTTTGAAACTTTTTATTGTTAAACTAAAGGTTATAATCAGCAAGCTCTATGAATATGAAGGAGATCATTTACATACAGGGTGACACAAAAATGACACCCAACTTTCGTTGCATAACTTGTTTGTCAATAACCATATAGACTTTGGCATATTTAAAGTAGACATAATGCGAGAGCACCTCGAGAAATTTCAGATATATGTAGCTCAAGTGGGCCTATTCCCCTGATATGACCCCGCCAGAATTTTACATCTGGGGGTACTTAAAGGACCATGTGTATGAGATAAAAATCCACAACCCATAGCTGACTTAAAGAGAACAAGTAACAAGGAAGATCGGGGCCATATTTCCATGTGTAAGGGTAATCAACATCTTTGCCTACAAGTCTATATGTTCATAGACAAACAATTAGTTGTTCAACGTAAGATGGGTGCAATTTTTTCTGTCACCTTGTATTATGCAAGAATTGTCAAATTAAAAACAGTATGCAAAAATATCCAATATAAACGGAAGTCACTTATTTCAGTCTGAAAGAAGCCACTTTCACCACACAGAAATGCCTTTGTGTATTTAATGATATCGCCTCCCATGACATGATTATCCCGTCCTTATTATAAGAAAGTCTATTTACAGTTACATGGCTCCAACTCTTGCCGTTGTTTCCTTTACAACCGGCTTCCACCCCATCCTAATCACTTTCACTGGAACCCAAATTTTGCGACAGAAATGATTTTGGATACAGAGAACAATGAAACAAAACAATATACCTGGCACACAGACAAACTTTTTTCACCTAATAGCTGGCGCAAACGCTGTTAAATCTCATTGCACAGCTCTGATATTGGATTTTTTGACACACATTTTTGTTATTACCCCACCGATAAAATATTACCATTCTATTTCATATTTGTACCACTTGCTAATGATACCTTTTATAAAAATTCAATGAATTCGAGTCATCTATTGCAAAGAAAACACTTGTCAAGAGGTGTCTCGCGTTTTGCGACACACGATATATAGCAATACATGTATCGACCTGTATGGCATGGAATGCCTTGTTCTAAAGCCTGTCTAGCATGGATCACAAATACAGTACACCCATTTTCTTCAACATAGCATCCCACGTGTTGAATGGTGTCGAATCAATCAAATCCGAATTGATCTCCAACGACGCTATGTTGGTTGATACATGGACACATACATTTTAAATTTTTTATTAGATGTTGTAAATGCGTGTATTCGATTAAGATATGACGTCACACTTGTGATTCCTTATCCGGGTCAGGGAATAAGCCTATTTTCATGCCAAGCCATTTACATTTTTCCTTTACTTCTTCTTGCATCAGGTTAAAACACATGGCTAGCAGTGATAATCCAAGAATTAAATACATTGCACACAGAACAAGTTTCTCCTTTACTGCCCAAGAGTCTGTTTCTGTGCCTGGAACTATGTCTCCAAACCCTATAGTCGTTAGAGTTATAAAACAAAAATAACTCCCAGTTAAAAAATCCCAATCTTCCCAATGTGAGAATAACCAAGCGCCACCTATAATATAACCTGTCATGAGAATGAGACACACAGACACTGGTACCCGGATGTTATCGTCTCCTTCCTCCTCTTCATAAACCTCGATGACTTTCTGTTCTTCGGGGATATATTTGATATTTGGGATACCATTATGCTCCTTATGTTTGCCCCGGCCCAAGCACCTTCCTTTGCATAACAAGCAGAATACACCACAGCATATCTTCTTGTAAAAGATCTTAAAACAATGGGAGAGGAAGCGACCAATGTTGCTGAGGTAGAGAAATGTCAGAGGTATCCCTACAAGGGCGTATATGAGCGTGATCAACCTGCCAGCCTTTGTTTTGGGAGCGATGTGACCATAGCCTGCAAGTAGAACAATATAAAAATCATTCAACATGGAGTAAAAGGAATTGGTTGTGATGTACTGAAGCATTATTCAAATTGAAGTAAACTAATAGGAACTTGAAGACAAACCTATGTAACAATCTATCGTCAAAAGATAAAAGAATCATTCGAAATGTCATACACGGACTTTGGAGATAGTAAATAAAACAACTATCATCATTTTCTCAAAGCATCATGTGAAATTTGTTTCATGTGGATAATAATATACATGGTGATCACAAAAATGCAACCCTCAAATTTGGATTTGATTATTTATTTTATTGTCGAATTGTTAATTTTCTTGTGTATCAATAGATGGAACAAACAGTGGGATACTTTTACTTGTTAGTACATTGCATCTATATCTACGATTTGAGATGTGTATGAAAAGAAGGGTTGTATTTTTGGAGGCACCCTGTATAATAAACACCAAGGCTGATGTTTGAATTATAAATACATTTAAAGCACCTAAAGTATGTGCCACTGGGAAAGCCGGTATATCGGGACATATGTTAGAGGATTTTCATGTACACACTGTGATAGATTGAACTTCCGAGCTTCGTGAATCAGTAGCCAGTTGTGTATATGTAGTTTATGCCCTTTGGAAAGTATGAACAGCAATAACTGATATACCATTATTGTCTTTCTTAATGTTATCAACACCTGATGTGTGAAATTTATGATTTAATATATGGATCTTTCTTTGTTCGAAAATGTTCAATTTATTGTATTTTTTATGTAAATGGAACTTGCGGCTCATCCACGCATCTGTTGTAGTAAACACACTTATATTTCCAAAGCAAGTATAACAATAATAGTATACAGGAGATCGAGGATGTTCACACTTATACATTTTTGATTTTATAATGAATAAAATCAATTTGAAAATAGTACCATCTGAAATCGCAGCTTTACTTCGTGACATCTATAAAGAAACTATAAAGAATTTCATAATTTTGTTTACAAAAATGCCATCATGAATCTAGCAAACATCACTGATATTCACCTGGTTGTAAACAAGATAAACGTCTTTATAACTAAATGGATGAACTTCCGTCGGATATTTTTTTTATTTGCATCATTTTCAGAAAAAAGACATAATTAGGTCTTATGCTTAGCACCTTCGTTTGTTAGAATTTTCATCGGCTAGTTACACTTTGATGTGATGTTTTCATTGGTGTACGGATATTCTGTCCACCTTTCTTTATCTTGATTTGAATTAAGAAGTATGCTATTTATTGCTTAACACGCCAGATATGAACATAATATTATCCGAAACGAATTTCGAAAATTTTGAGGTCGCCATTTTGTTTGTCGATTTTGACCAATCAGAGACCAATCTCAATAAGGTTTATATAAGCATAGGTCATCTTTGAACTCTGAGATTAATCCACCTGAACAGAGAGGTTGATTTGTATCCAAACATCTGGTTACTGAAAAACTACTTAATTACTAGCAAATATATCCAGCACCTATAATAATCGAGTGAAAATTCCCCCACCCTAGTTGTGTTCCCGTCCTGGTTGCCAAGGTGAGGGGTTGAAAGAATAACATTTTCTCCGACAGAAGTTCATCCTTTTGTTTTCAAAGGGGCAACCAGGTTTGGATCAGTGGACATATGCTCTTACTTCTTTCCTTCTATTACAGGGTTTGAACACCATTGGACAGTATTTAACAGTATTGAGCTTGTTACATAAGTTACCTTGTTATTCTATTTGAATATAATTATTTACAGCGCCCTCAATAATTTAGCCGCACTTCTAACAAGTGTGTTATAATTGGGTAAAGTGTAATGAACTTATCATTAAGTAACTTATACCTCACCTAACCACCATTAACTGGTTTTATGGGCCACTTGCTATTACGACCATGATTTATATTACCAAGCATACGCCATTCCCATCACTATGTACTAAAATTATGAAATACTGCATCCCTATAGGTCAATATGTAGATGGTGTTTGTCGGGACAACTACATGTTTTGTGGATAATGGCTGAGTGATACCCAGATTCGCCCCCACTTCACTTATCCCACTTCAGATTTAGGAACTAAAGTAATAAGGCAATCGAATTATGATATCATAATTGTTTTTTTTTCATGTTACTTCTTTTCATATACAGAGTGTTTCATAAGTATGCACCCCCTCTAAAATTATATACCATCTGTAAAGAAAAAGGTGCATGATCCTTTATTAGTCATAACATTTTCAAAAATTTGTATAATATTACTAAACTCTTGGAGCACATGGCATAAATATTGTGAATAATTGGTAGGAATTTTAATAGATTAGATGAAAATTTAAAAAAGTAAGCAATGGTTAAAACATTGTCTCACAAACTCACTAATGTGACTTTTTCTGGTCATAATTGACAAGTTTGAAATAAACATTGACACACTGACAGAAAATTATGGAGGTGCCAAAACCCGTCTAAAACATGTTTTTAGACAATTTTTAAGCCTTAAATAGCAGTGAAATTAGGGATAAGATGTAACCATTTTGCTCAATAAACATTGTATATATCACAGCTGACATAAATTTTGGTATGCATAAGCTAAGTATTGGATGTATAACATATTTATGGGTCATTGAGAAAGATTAAGGGTTATAATTATCTTACAATTTCAAGTTTAATGTAATATATGTCCCCCTAACCCTAATTTTGAGCTGAGAAGAGGCCTCTGAATCTGAAGGATGTTACCTCAAATTCTATCTGAAAATGGTTGCAATTAATCGGACTTTCATTTTCAAAAAGGTTTATTGGATAGAAGACTTTTTAAAATGATTTATTCCTCTAAAATGTAAATAACAATTCATGTCTCAGAAGATCCCCTTCTTGAATATATAGGATTTCTCAAATTTGTAACGACCCTTGGGCACGTCCGTCGGGGAGCTGTAGTGTACCGAGCCAGATACTAGACTCGAAAGAGAGTGTGCTAAATTCAATGCCCCGTGCGGGAATCGAAACCAGGACCTTCCGCTCTCGAGTCAGACGCTCTACCCCTGAACCATAAGGGATAGCATAGCTAGGTAGATATAGCATTGCCACCATATCATGCTATATATCATTTTGTTCTTCATTGAAAGTTACATAAGATTACAAGGTTTCAGGAGTGTTTTTCTAAAAAATACAATGTGACGAGGGCAATTTAAACGAAAAATATGGTTTCCATATTGCACATTTTTAGCTGTTATTATCACAGAGTTAAGTCCACATGTCTGTGACAGTTATTCACACAAAGATATAGACAGGATTCATGCAGTGGCTTGTTGGGAGGCCAGGGACCACGGTGCCACCGTTATTACTAAAAATGTGTAACAGACAAAGTGAACAGATCACCGGATTGGGTCCAAAAAACTTTCAAAAATGCCTAGTGCTTATTGTATATTGCTGTTGTTTTCCTGATTACCACCGTTTTACAACCCTGTTGTATATTGCTGTTGTTTTCCTGATTAACACCGTTTCAAACTCATGTTGTATATTGCTGTTGTTTTCATAATCATCACCATTTCACAGCCCTGTTGTATATTGCTGTTGGTTTCCTGATTAACATCGTTTCACACTCATGTTGTATATTGCTGTTGTTTTCATGATTAACATCGTTTCACACTCATGTTGTATATTGCTGTTGTTTTCATGATTAACATCGTTTCACACCCCTGTTGTATATTGCTATTGTTTTCATGATTAACACCGTTTCACACTCCTGTTGTATATTGGTATTGTTTTCATGATTCACACCGTTTCACACCCCTGATCTATATTGCTGTTGTTTTCATGATTAGCACCGTTTCACACCCCTGATGTATATTGCTGTTGTTTTCATGATTAACAACGTTTCACACCCCTGCTGTTTATTGCTGTTGTTTTCATGATTAGCACCGTTTGACACCACACCCTGTTGTATATTGCTGTTGTTTTCATGATTAACACCGTTTCACACCCTGATGTATATTGCTGTTGTTTTCATGATTAGCACCGTTTCACACCACACCCCTGTTGTATATTGCTGTTGTTTTCATGATTAACACCGTTTCACGCACCTGACACGAGAAAAGTTAAGAAATTCCATATTTTGAAGATTCCCGATCCAATCCACCTTTTACATGAATCCAATCCACTCGATCCAATCCACCTTTTATTCTCTACCACAGTATTTGTATTTTGTATAGGGAATCTCTTCATCGACATTGGTGTGTAGTAAACATGTACATGTCATCTTAGTAATGAATAATACTATTTACTACATGTTTGTATATATATGTAGACCATTGTTGTTTACCAGACCCCCTCTTATCTCATGCTTGAGTGGAATTCACCACTTTCATGTTGGAGTTCAAGACAAATAAAAAAGGGCACGATTTCTGCGATATTGGTAGACTACATTGAATGCAAAATGAAGTAAGAAACTACGGAAACAACGGAGTTACGTACGCGCTTATATGATACAAAGATCCACACCTTACGTTTGGATATAGCCTTATGATATTTGAAATTATTCCCACTGTAAATAAAATGCTCAACTGTAATCCTGTAAAATGCAAGCTAGTATCTTCCCGCCTGGTCTCTATCAAGATTCACATCATAGAGCCATATATTTATAAAGTAACTCTAATTTATTAGCTTTGTTAATGTTCTGGTTAAACCCTACATTTATTTTCCTATCCTAGTTTCTAATTTTAAATTTAAGTTATTTGCTGCACACTTGAGATGGCATCATGGTTTTCTGCACTACTTAAGTGATAAAGAAAGGATTATTACCAGGGGCGGATCTGGAAAATAACAAAGAACAAGAGGGGGGGGGGGGGCATTTCAAGTCTGAAGAAATGTTTGGGCCCCCGAAAACCCAAAATTGGACCCAAATTTTGAACATTTGAGGCCCATTTTCCCCGGCCGAGGTACTATCTGTAAACGTGCATGGCCTAAACACACACCAAATTATTTTCTATTCAAAATGAAAATGATATGTGACTTACAT